GCAGACAAGGAAGAGGTATTTCCAATCACCACTCTGAAGTTATTTTCAATTAAAGGCATGCAAAATAAGGGAGAGTCCGAGACACTCACACTCGTGTTCCTCGCGGTCGGGAAGTGGAGGTGCTGCGTCTGGAGCTAGAATTCTGCCGGTGCTCTTTCTTTCGCACTGATGAAGGGAGAATGACGGACGGATTAGAAATGAGGGAGGAGGGAGGTGAGGAGAGAGAGAGAGAAGAGATTGGGACGCAACGGGGAATGAGGGAAGATTAGCAGTAGCGAGGGAGGCAAGGGAGAGAAAAGAGATGGGAACGACGGGAATGGAGGAGACGGGGAGGAGAGAAAAAGAGATGGGGAAGAAAGGGGAATGAAGGAGAAGAGGTGGGTGAGGAATTAAGAAATGAAGGGAAGGGAGGGAGAGAAAGAGATGGGAAGAACGGGGAATGAGGGAGGAAGAGGTGGGGGAAGGATTAGAAAATGAGGGAGGAAGAGGTGGGGGAGGATTAGAATGAAGCGGAGGAACCCAGAGGTGGGGGAGGCTTAGCAAATGAGGGAGGTACGGAGGGAGGAGAAAGAGATGGCGAAAGAACGGGATGAGGGAGGAAAGTGAGAGGAAAAAAGAGGTGGGGAAGATTGGAAATGAGAGAGGCACGGAAGGGAGAGACAAGGGGTAGGGAGATTAGAACCGACCGGTAGAAAAAACCAAAGTAAAAATAGATAGGGAATGGAAGCCAGGAAGAAAGAGGAGGAGGAGTAAGAGAGTAAGAATGAGGGGAGAGAATAGAGCGGCGATAAAAGGAAGACCCTTTGCCTTTGCGTCCTTGTGTGGAAGAAATTTCTCAGTTCTCATTATCTTCTCTCTCTCCTGCTCTGTTCTTTCTTCTCCTGCTCTTCTCGTTCTCTCTCGTTTCTTTCGTCGCCTCTGCTCTCATCTCTTGTTCTTTCTTTCTCCCGGCCCTCTCTCTCTTCTCTCTTTTCTTTCTTTTATTTCTTCTCCCCCCCTCTCCCTCCCTCCTCTCTCTCTTTTTCTTTCTCTCTCTCTCGTTTCTCATCTCTACAGTTTTCTCTCGATCATCTCTCAATCTAGTCCACTCTCTCACTTTCGTCGATCCTCCCCCCCTCGGACTCTACCCTCTCATCATCTCAGGCTCTCGCTCTCCTTCTTGTCATTCTCTTCCTTCTCATCTCTCCTGGCTTCCTCATCTCTCCTCTCTCCTCTCTCTCCTCCCCTCCTCTGTATCTTCTTCTTACTGTTCTATCATCCTCACTCGTTTTGCTTTGTCGCGTTCCTCCCTTCTCCCTGTTCTTTCCTCTCCTTCTCTCCTTCAGTCACCCCTTTCTTCCTCCTTCTCTTTCCTTCGTCTTCTCCCTCATCCTCTTGTCTCTTTCTTTCTCCTTTCTGCCCGCGACCTGCACTTCCCCGCGGACCGCTCGTCCCGCCAAGTCCCTCTCTTTCACAGAATGAACATCATACAATAAGCAGCGCACCGTGGATAGCCGGCCGCGCGGACTATCCGCGCACACACACACACCCACACACACACAACACACACACACACACACAGCACACCACACGCAAACCACGAACAGCCACGTATGTACTCCTTTTCACTTACAAGAATCATGCTGAAATCGGTCTCACCCCTAGCCCCCTCCCCTTAACCCACACCTGACACGCCGGACCATTCTTCGAGGTGTTCATGGACATCCTTCACTCCCCGGATCATCAACGGTCAATTCCCCGCCTCGCCTCGGGTAGCTGGGACCTATATGCGCCCACGCTCAGAAGGCTCTCTATACTACGCTATTTTCCAGGTCCCAAGACTAACTTTCTCTCGTGTGCTTTCCGGTCCGGTCCCAGCTTTCGGAAGACTCGTTTCGGACGAAATGTTGGGAAACGTTTAGACATGTATTCGTCCTTTTTCTCTCTCTCTTTTTCGAGGAATTTGATTTCTGAGAAATCTTATATTGAAGTATGAACCGCGTTATAGTGCGTGGTCACTTCTTGATGAGAAGCAAACACCAGACCCAGACAAACAGACTGAGAGAGAGCGACGTAGCGAAAGAGAGAGAGAGAGAGAGAAGAGAGAGAAGAGAGAGAGAGAAAGAGAGAGGAGAGAGGAGAGAAGAGAGTAAGAAGGAGAGAGAGAGAGGAGAAGAGAAGAGAGAGGAGACACGACAATGGAGAGGAGAAAGAGGAGAGAGAGAGAGCCGAGGTTAAGAGAGGAGTGATTTCCTTATCGAGGGTATCCCATATTTGCTCTCTGTGTCTAGGCCTCTACTTTATTGGTCCGCGAGCGAGAGGGGGAAAGAGGGAAAAATCGGTTCACGAATGGAGTTCTCTTTACAAGACCGTTTTTATTGTATTCGGTTAGTCGACAGGTATTGGGCATTTTATTTGCTTTCTCTCTCTCTCTCTCTCTCTGCTCCCCCTCTCTCTACTCTCCTCCCTTTTTATTTTATTCTTTCTCTCTCTCGTGTCTCTTCCCTTTCCCTCTCTCACTCACTCACTCACTCACTCACCACTCAACTCTCTCTCTCTCCGCCTCTCTCTCTTCTCCCTCCCTCCCTTCTCCCTCGCCTCTCTCCCTTCCTCCCTCCCGCTCTCCCTTCCTTCCTCCCTCCCCTCCTCTCGTCCCTTCCTCCTCCCTCCCCTCTCTCCCTTCCTTCCCCCTCCCTCTTCTCCCTTCCTTCCTCCCCTCCCTCTCTCCTCTTCCTCTCCTCCCATCCCTCTCTGCCACAACTTCCTCTTCCCTCCCTCAAGGCGAGCAAACGATAATTTGAATGCAAGAATCCGTTTGAAACTAACACGTGGAAGAAGCCTCTGGAAAGTCCCATTGTTTTCCCCTTTTCACACTTCGGACGTCTTGGGAGAGATTTCTTTTCCCCCCGATTTCATTTTTCTCCTTCGCAAGGTCGTCCAAAAAATTTAAGAAAGAAAGAAAAAAAAGAATAGATAAAGAGAGAAGAACAAAGAAAGAAAAAGATTTTACTCAAATTGGAACGCTCCGAATCTGCAGGCGCTTTGGTCCCCCCGTAGCATCTCCCGCCAATCATCATTCCGACCAATCACAGAAGGCGACACAAGCCTTTGAGGGCTCAACGAACCAATCACGGCGCGCGAAACGGATGGGGCCGTAGATTGCCATTGGCTAACGAGGCGGAGGAACGACCAATAGCGTGGAAGGGTTGGCAACACAGCTCGTCGTAATTTTAAACTGGGCGACCGTTGGCGGTGAGCGGGCGGGCGGGCGTGACGTAAGGCTGCCTGGCGTGGGATTACGGCTCATTTGTCAGGAGGGCGTCCGGCAGCCTGGATTTTCCTCTGATAGGGACGTGCACGTGTGGATTTTCCCTCGTGTGGATGTACGCATGTGTGGATTTTCCTTTTCGGCGGAGATCCACGTGGATTTACCTCTTAGACATGCACTTGTGGGTTTTCCTCAGATACGGACATACCACGTGGCATTTCCCTCTGTACAGACATACAATGCACGGTAACCTTGCATACCAACAACATGTACGGATAACCTTACATGCACACACACATGCACGGATAACCTTACATGCATACACACATGCACGGATAGCCTTACATGCACACACATGTACGTACACGATGTTAAACGTCGAGATGAGCCAAGCATTCCACGGGTCAACCACATGGGTATCGCATAAAATTAGTATGCTATTAAGACCAAATATTTAGCTTTCTCTTTTCTCTTTCTCCTTTATCCTCTCTTCCTCTTCTTCCTCCTCCTCCCTCTTTCTCCTCCCAACTCTCTTTTCCCTCCTTCTCCCCACGCCCCCTCTCCGTCCCCCTCCTTCTCCCCTTTCTCCCCTCCTCCTCCTCCTTCTCTTCCCCATGCTTTTCTCACTTCCCTTTCTCATACTCCTCCTCCTCCCCTACTTCTCCTTCTCTTTTTCAGCTCTAATTTCATTACCTGCCCTTCCTGCCCTTCCATTTCTCCACTCTCTTCCCTCTCTTCTTTTCTTCTTCTTCCCTTCCTCCTCCACCTCCTCTTCCCCTTCCCTTCTCCTCTCCTCCTTTTCCTCCTCCTCCACTCTTTTCTCCTCTCCCTCCTCCTCCTTTTTCCTCCCTCCCTCCTCCTCCTTTTCCTCCTCTCTCCCTCCTCCTCCTTTTCCCTCTCTGCCCTCTCCCTTGCTGCTCATCTTCTTCCTCTCTCACTCCTCCTCCCCCCACCACCTCCCACCTCCTCTCCCTGCTCCTCCTTTCCTCCTCCTCCTCCCCCCACCTCCTACTCCTACTCCTCCCTCTTCCTCCTCCCTCCTCCTCCTCCCCACCCTCCTACTCCTACTCCCTCCTTCCTCCCCCCTCCTTCTCCACATCTGGTTCGCCATCAGAAGTTGTGACTTATGTTGCAGATAATGAAGTTGATTCACCGTTTTGATAATTTATGGGCCTCGTTTATCAAAGAGAGAGGGAGGAGAGAAGAGAAGGAAAGAAAGGGAAGAGAGAGGGGGAGAAGTGGAGGGAGAGAGAGGGAGAATGAGAGAAGGGAAAGGGAAGAGGGGGAGAGAGGGGAGAAGAGAGAGAGAGGGGGGAGAAAGAGAAGAGAGATAGAGACCAATTATTTTTGATTTTTTTTTTTTTTTTTTTTTTTTTTTTGATTTGATGTAAACAAATGTCAAACATGATTAGCTCTTTTGTATGGCAGAAATGTTCATTTTTGAAGAAAAAAGTATATATACATTTACTGTAGGCTAAGAAATATTCTTATGTAACTAACACATTACTAATTTTGATTTTTTCTCCCCCTCTTTCTTCCATTTTCTTCTTCCCCTTCTTCTTCTTCCTCCTCCTCCCCTTCCACTTCTCACTCCTCTTTCTCCCCTTCCTCCTCTTCTTCTCCTTCCTCCTCCTCCTCCCCCCCTTCCCCTTCCTCTTCTTTCTCCTTCCTCCCCTCCTCCTCCCCTTTCACTCCCTTTCCCTCCTCCTCCTTCTTCTTCTTCTTCTTCTTCTTCTTCTTCTTCTTCGCACAGCGCGGGATGAGAGTCGGAGTCCAGTGCGATCCCGATCAGCTGGAACGCCGGGGTCTCAGCAGCCAATCAGGAAAACGTCAGGGGTAAGTAGACCTTGGGTGTTGTAAGTAGGTACTGACCGCGTAAGTAGGCCTAGGGTGTAGTAAGTATTGGTAAGTAGGACTTGGGTGTTGTAAGTAGGTACTGACCGTGTAAGTAGGCCTAGGTTGTAGTAAGTATTGGTAAGTAGACCTTGGGTGTTGTAAGTAGGTACTGACCGTGTAAGTAGGCCTAGGGTGTAGTAAGTAGTAGTTTGGGTGTAGTGGTAACCATGTAAGTAGGCCTAGGGTGTAGTAAGTATTGGTAAGTAGGACTTGGGTGTAGTGGTAACCATGTAAGTAGGCCTAGGGTGTAGTAAGTTGTAAGTAGGACTTGGGTGTAGTAAGTATTGTAAGTAGGCTTAGGGTGTAATAAGTAATGTAAGTAAGCCAAGGGTGTAGTAAGTAATTTAAGTAGGACTTGGGTGTAGTAAGTAATGTAAAAAGCCTAGTACTAATGTAAGTAGATTTAGTAAGTAATGTAAGTAGGCTAGGGGTTAGGTACTTGGTGTAGTAAGTATTGTAAGTAGGCCTAGGGTGTAGTAGTAACCATGTAAGTAAGACTAGGGTGTAGTAAGTAATGTAAGTAGGCCTAGGGCTTAATAAGTAACCCTGTAAGTAGAACTAGTAAGTAACCGCATCAGTAGGCCTAATCTGTAGTAGGTAGGAAGTAACCATGTAAGTAGGACTAGGATGTATTAAGTAGGAATTGACTGTGTAAGTAGTACAGGTGTGTTAGTAAATAGGAAATGGCCACGTGAGGAGTCCACGCGTGTAATAAATAGGAAATAGCCATGGAAGTGGCATAGGTGTTTCGTAAGTAGAAAGTAGCCGTGTAAGTAGTCCAAGCATGTAATTGAGTAAGCGGTACAAGTGTTTTTTAAGTAACTATGGAAACAGTTTAGTAATTTGTAAGAAAGTAGTTCTTCACTATCTTCTCCTCATCTCCTCCCCCTCTATATCCCCTTCCTCCTCCCCTCTTCGTAACCAAACCTAACCAAAACCCAAACCCTAAACTAACACCTAACCTAACTACCTCTCATCTTCCTCCTTCCCTCTCCTCCTCCCCTCCCTCTTCCTCTCATCTTCCCTCTACCCAATAATCCCACACCTCCCCCTAACCTATTATCATCTTCCCCCTCCTCCTAACCTCCTCCCTAACCTCTCATCTTCCCCCTGCCTCCTTCCTCCTCCTTCTAACCAAAACCCATACTCAATTTTTTTCCTCCTCTCAACCTCTCCCCCACTCCTCCTTCAAACCAATCTAACCAACACTCAACATAAAACAAACTCCATCATCCCCCCTCCTCCTCCCTGGCCCTCCTTCCTCTCATTTCCTCCCCTATACTCCCTCTCCTCCTCCTCCCTCCTTCCTCTCATCTTCCCTCCTCCCTCCCTCTCATTAACCCTTCCCCTATCTCCTCAACTAAAACCAATCACTCATCTTATACCCCTCTTCCTCCTCCTCTCTTCTCTCTATCTTACAACTCCCTCCTCCCTCTCCTTCCTCCTATCCCACTCTTCATCTCATCTTCCTCTCCTTCCTCTAACATCTTCCCCTCCTCCCTCTAACTGCCAAAACTCAACCCTCCTTCCTCTCATCTTCCCCCTCCTCCTCCTCCTCCTCTATACATCCTCCTACCTTCCACTTTTCTTTCCGTCTTCCCACTCTAATTCCTTTGGTCGTCTCCTCTTCGGACTCGTATTCGGAGAGCCTCTGACACGCTGGGTTCGCTGAGTCAACCTTCGGGTTCGTGCCGTTATCGGGTTGTTCCGGGCTTTACACTAAAAACCTAAACCTGTCTAATCTAAGCGTAACAAAAACCAAACTAACCTAACCTTTAATCCCTACAAACCAAACCCTAACCTACTAACCTAAGCCTAACGAATTCTCAACAAAACAATACTCATCCTAAGGCCGGCTCTTCTGCACTCCTTAGACCCTAATCGTTCCTTACAGCAAAACCCAACCTAACCTAACCTAACCTAACTAACGTCTTACCCTATCCTAAAACCCAACCACCCTAAGCTAATACCCTAAAATTAAACAATATCCGTAACCCTAATCTCTCTCTCTTCCTTACACCTTTAACTTAACTATTATTCATACTCTCCTATACCGCTTAACCTAACCTATTCTTATCCGAACCAAAACAAAATCCCTAAGCCAACTCTAATCCTAATTTGCTCTTTGTCTCCTCTCAATTTAACCTATAACCTAATTCCAACCTATCATTTACTCTAACCTCTATACAACTCCATACTTTCTCTTTCCTTATACATTCCTATATCTTTCATTCTTTCTTGCTATCATTTCTTTCTTCTACAATCTCTTCTCCCTTAACTTTCTCCTCCTCTAATTTCTCCTCCTATACCATAAAACCAAATTTCCCTCTCCTCTCTTAATTCTTATCTAATCCCCTAACCTAACTATCTTCATACATATTTCGTTTTCTTCCTCAATATTTCTTTCTCCTATTATATTTCTTCTCTCCAACGCTATCCTCTTAACCATACAACCTACACTAAACTCCTCTAACCACCCTAACCTAACCTAACAAAAGCCAAACACTCTAACTCCTACCAACTAACTCCTAACTCTCTCCCTCATCATCCCATCTCTAAACCATACAATCCCTCCCTCTAACCTCTAACTCCCTCCTAACTCCTAACTCTCTATTCAATCTCTACTACAATCTACTCAATCATCCCTTCATCATCCTCCTTCAATCTCTTCTCCTCTAATCCCTATCTAACACACTACATCCCCATCACCTAAATCCCCTTCATACATCTCCTCTCTCCTCTCTTCTACATCTCTCTCTTCTTACAATACCCTTACTACCATCTACATCTCTCTCTCGCTCTCTTCTTCCCAAACTCCTTACCTATCTCCTTGATACTCTACTACCTAAACCTAACCTTAACTAACAACCAAAAATATAATACTTGAAAATGTGGTGCGTGAGATGTCCGTAAGTGTCCTGAGACTCACTCAAAACCAAAATAATATATACTACTACTAACACCTAATACCTAATACGTATATAATATATACCTTAAACAAAAACCTAAAATACTATACTACCTGTAAATACTATATATATATCATTAAACCTATTATATAAAATATATACTACTAAAGACACCACCACACACACACACACACCACACATACAAACCCATCACACAAACAACAAAACAACACACACACGACACCACACTAACATATCTATACCTAATACTATATGATAAACCCTAAAAAATAAACCAATACCTAATAATATATTCTTAATATATATATTATATACCTTAAATAATTATAACCTATTAAAAATACACACACCTAACACCATAAAATAACCAATATTATTTCCCTCATGACTCGAACATATCTCCATTTACCTTCCTTTTCGTTGTCGCCTCATAACCTAACAACAACGCTGCTTCTGTTCTTATAGCCTAACCTCACATAACCCTCTAATTAAATCTCCTACCTCTCAACTCCAACTAACTCTCCCTTAACCTTAATCCCCTCCTAATCCCTAACTCCACCCATACCACCCACTAAACACTTCCCTAACTTCTAACTAATGCTCTCTTTGCGACTCTACAACGCGTCCCAACCCCCCCCCCGACAATAACCAAAAGCGACACACTAATGGCTAATTATCAACTGCCTACCTAACAAACACCAAACCAAACCAAACATAAAACTCGATACTCTTAGATCCTAGACTTATTAACCAACCTAACCTCCAAATCCTATCCGTAATCTTATGATGCCTTATAAATCAACCATAGCTAACTCTTACTCTTCCCTAACTTTATAACTCTAACATCTTACTCCTAATTTACCTCATATTTCTCCTCTCAACTCTTTTTTCCTAAACCAATTCCATCTCTCTCCTTAACCACTTCTCATCATCCCAAATCCTACTACACTCCTACCCCTTACATTCCCTTCAATCCTAATCCTAATCTTCTGACCATAACCATAACTTACATCTCCTAACCTCATCTCGTCTCCCTACTCTCTCTCCTAACTAACACCAAACTCCTCTCTCTAAATACCTTACACCTACACCTAACTAACCAACAATAATCATCTCTACATCATCTCCTTCCACTCTCACTCTCTCTCCTAATACCCTCCCCTTTCACTCTCTTCCACACAACTTAACCTTACGTTTCCCAATAACAAACCAAACCTAACGCAACCACACCGAAAAGTAATAAAACATATTTTAACCACGTGAGAGAATAAAACATATAATTCCTCGCAGTACCCAACTCTAAATACACAGAATATCAAAGAAATCCTAACAGTTCAGACACCACAATACTATATATATAATCCTTAACAAAGCTATAAAAAATACCTAACTATACTATTAATACCTTATAAGCCTAACAAAACCAATACACTAATATACTCGAAGATAGTGTGTGTGTGCTGTAAACCTAATGTGTTGAGTGATCGCTAAGTCGGGAAATGTCAGTGAAGCTGATAACAATGTAGTGAGATACTCGTAAAGTGCTGTGTGCTGCGTTAGCTGCTATGAGTGTGCGTGTGTGCTGGGTATACTCTGTTAATGTACTTGTAATAAAACTGAACTGACTGTCACACACTAAAGAACACCATACACCCAAGTTCACACAAGTAAAACCTATAAGACATTTCAATAGCCCAGCAGAATACTTTTCATAGCAGCCGTGTTTTCACAAAGGATTCAGAATGGCGACGACCCATTCTTATTTGACACCGAACCCGACAAAGATCCCTTTCACTGCCAGAGTATAATCAGCTGAACCATAGACAATCCTCCCATAAATATTTGCCACAGTCTGTCTGTAACTTTTTTGCCTAATTGCAGTTCTTAGGTCGATTACGTTGCACTACAGAGGAGGTAATAACAAAAGCAAGAATTGTGATATGATGAGCAAGAACGGCAAAGAGTATGATAATAGCAGTAAAAATAGTTTCATCAATAACAGTAATTAATGATTAATAACAGCATCAGTAATAGCAAAGATGACATCAGTAAAAAGTGACAACATGGATGGAATCAGTGACTTAGGAAAATGAAAATTATTTCCTCCTTCCCTCCTCTCTTTCCTTCTTTTTTTTCTATCTACCTTCTATCTTCCCTTTCTCCTAATCCTTTTAACCCTTAGCCCCTCCTCATCACCCATGTCCCTCCCTCCCTTTTGTTCTCACGCTCTCTACTTCTCCCTTCCTTTCCCTTTCCCCTTTTTTCTATTAGCCTGTTTCCCCGTTCTCATATACCTTTCCCTCCTCTCCCTTTCCTGCATTCCCCTTACTCTCCCTCCCTTTCCACCTTCCCCCTCCTTCTCCCTCCCTCTCTTTTCTCTTCCTTCCCTCCCTCTCTCTCCCTTTCCCCTCCCCCTCCTCCCTTTCCCTCCTCCTTCCTCTCCCTTCTTTTTCATCCTTCTCCCTCTATTTCCCTCATTTCTCTCCTACCCTTTTCCCCATTTTTTACCTTTTCCCTCTTCCTCGTCCTTGTCTCCTTCCCTACATCTTACGCCTCCCCCTTCTCCCCAACCCCTCCTTCCTTTCTTATTCCCCCCCTTCTCTCCCCCCCTTCCCTCTCCAACTCCCCCCTCCTTCTCCAACTCCCCCCCCTTCTATTCCCTTTCCCCCCTCCCCATCCCCTCCTATCCCGGTGCCTCTCCCTGTGCACATACAGTGCGTGTACATACCACACACACACAACACACACCACACACACACACACACACACACACACACACACACACACAACACACACACACACACCACACACACACACACACACACACACACACTACACACACACACACACACACACACCTCACACCCGCGCGTGCGTCTCGTGCCTGAAGGAGGAGAACTAAACAAAATGGTTTATTCATTTATGCAAAAAAGGTTGTTTCTGACGCGGATATAGGACGTCTCTTTCCGTCCCGGGGAAGGTGCCGTTGGAGTTTTTATTTTTATTTTCGTCTCTTTCTGCCTCTCTTTCTCTCGCTCTCTTGTCTCTTTCTCTCTCTCTTGTCTCTTGTCTTTTTCTCAGTCTCTCGTGTCTCTCTGTCTCTCTCTCTCTCTCTCTCTCTCTCTCTCTCTCTCTCTCTCTCTCTCTCTCTCTCTCTCTCTCTTCTCTCTCTCTCTCTCTCTCTCTCTCTCTCTCTCTCTCTCTCTCTCTTTGTGTGTGTGTGTGTGTGTGTGTGCTTTGCATGACATTTCCATTCATATAATCATTATGAACTCAATACTGACAGATGTACTTTTTTCTGCTGCATTTGTATCTTTGCACTTGCATTGCGACCAAGAAAATACTTTTTTTCTTTCTTTCCTTTGCCTTTCGCGTCGTCATATTAACCAAGAAAAAATACATAATCAGATGTAAGATAAAACTGTGCTTATCTTGGCCTAAGGTTTCAGACTTCAGGAGACCACGCGAAGCTTTTTAGAGAGAGATTTCAGGAGCGACAGTCGACCATTTTTTCTCTGTTGGGGCTGTAATTATTCGAGTCACATGCGGGCACACGGACAGTTATATGCGTGTCTGCCTGATATAGCTCAAAGCATGCGGGTTCAGACACGCTGAGTCTGTTTTGTAAGGATTATATGCTTGTATGTGCGTGTTTAGACACATACGCACAGCGCACACGAACACAAACACACACATACACATACACATACACATACATACTCACTACTCACACACATACTCACACACATACTCACACACACACACATACCACACAACACACAACACACACACACACACACACACAACACACACACACACACACACACACACACACACACACACACAACACACACACACACACACATATATATACTCACACACACACACACAACACACACACACACACACACACACACACACACACTCACACACACACACACACACACACACACACACACACACACACACACACACACACACACACACACACACACACACACACACACACACACACACACACACACACACACACACACACCACACACACACACACACACTAATCCATCAGCAGAACCTATGCACCTCTTACCGTGTCTCATTTTTTTTTCTTTCTCCCCCCCCCCTCCTCCCCCAGAGTCACAGGTCGGGTCAGGGGCGGTTCCTGTGGGGAGGGGCGTCGACGGAAGACTGCTCCCCCCTGGGCGGCGAGGAGCGCTTCAACGGCACGCCCACGTCCCATGACGGGTCCCTGAAGGCGGCCAAGTCCAACAAGCAGAACAACCGCTGGTCCTCCATCTTCCCCTCGAACTCCAAGGTCAGTTGCGTCGAGGGTGAGGGAGTGGGTAGGTGGGTGAGAGAGGAGAGAGAGAGAGAGAGAGAGAGAGAGAGAGAGTGAGAGAGAGAGATCGAAAGTCAGAGAGAGAGAGAGAGAGAGAGAGAGAGCAAGAGACCGAGAGAGATCGAAAGTCTGAGAGAGAGAGAGCAAGAGTCCGAAAGAGAGAGAAGAAGTAAGAAAGAGAGGAAATGGAACATATGGACATAGGATTCGCTAGAGTCCCATCCTGCCCCACGGAGACTGCCTGAAGGGAAAGGCACTCTCTCCCTCTCCCGCCGTAGGATCCATCCAGTAGGATCTCCGTTCCTGCAGCAGTTGTTCCTCGTAATGCCTTGTGGGTTGTAGGTACTTTACATTGGTGTCTGCCGAGTCCTCTAGCACTGGCCATTGTTGACGGGCGGAAGGGCACCCGGTCAGTGGAGGGCGTTGAGGAGGTCATGCCGTCTTGGGAGGTCATGTTGTCTTGGGAGATCATGTCTTGGGAGGTCATGTCGTGTGACGTTTTTACGAGTGAAGGACATGGACAAACAAGATTTAATGTCATGTTCATGCTTACGTTCAGGGATACGCACACACACACGTACACCCACGCATACATACACACACACATGCACACACATGTACACACACACGCACGCAAGCACACACTTACATACACACACACACACACACACACACACACACACACCACACACACACACACACACACACACACACACACACACACACACACACCACACACACACACACACACAACACACACACACTTACACACACACACGGCCGCGCGCGCGCGCACATACAACGCACGCACGGGGGAGGAGGATAGGTCCAATTATTAAAACGAGAGACAAACTATCCTAATAAAGTTAGGAACCTCTCGAAAAAGAAAATCCATACACGGTTCAAAAAGAAAAACTTTTTTAGTCGTTTGGAAATAGGAAAATTCGGGAAGTTCCATGGAATAGGGGGTCGTTGGAATAGGTAGGGGGGGGGGGGTTGGAATGAGGAAGGGTACAAGTTGATCGGAGTTTTTTTTTTTTTTTTTTTTTTTTTTTTTTTTTTTTTAATGGGGAAATACGGGGTGTTTGATATGGGGGGGTGAGATTGTATGGAATGGGGAAATAGGAAAGTCGCAGAAACGGAGAAAAAAAAAAGAGGACTTAGGGAACCATATTATGAAAAGAGGAAAAAATTAAGGGAAAATTGTGGAATGGGGAAATAGGGAGTGTTAGGAAGGGCATCCGACTGTAAAAACCCATGCCAGAACCACTACGGAATGAGCCGTAATAGGCATCCATAACGGCGACGCCATATAGAAATGGGAGAAAGCTGAGAAGAAAAATAAAGAGAGAAAGCTGAGACGAAAAAGAAGAGAAAAAGCTAAGAAGAAAGAAGAGAGAAAGCTGAGAAAGAAAAAGAAGAGAGAAAGCTGAGACGAAAAAAGAAGAGACAAAACTGAAAAGAAAAGAAGAGACAAAGCTAAGAAGAAAAGAGAAGAGAGAAAGCTGAGAAGAAAAATAAAGAGAGAAAGCTGAGACGAAAAAGAAGAGACAAAGCTAAGAAGAAAGAAGAGAGAAAGCTGAGAAGAAAAAGAAGAGAGAAAGCTGAGACGAAAAAGAAGAGACAAAACTGAAAAAGAAAAAGAAGAGACAAAGCTAAGAGAAAGAGAGAAGAGAGAAAGCTGAGAAGAAAAAGAAGAGACAAAGCTGAGAAGAAAAAAGAAGAAAGAGAAAGCTGAGAAGAAAAAAGAAGAGACAAAGCTGAAAAGAAAAAGAAGAGACAAAGCTAAGAAGAAAGAGAAGAGAGAAAGCTGAGAAGAAAAATAAAGAGAGAAAGCTGAGACGAAAAAGAAGAGAGAAAGACAAAGCTAA